TCAGCAACAGTTACTGATCGCATGAATACTCACCACACAATCAGCAACCGTCGCTGATCGTGTGTGCATATAGCACACGACCAGCAACGGTTGCCGGTCGTGGATGATGCCCACGGTCAGCAACAGTCGCTGACCGTGGGTGATGCACACGGTCAACTGCTGACCGTGTGCATGCACCACCATCATCATCATTTTCATTTTTTTTTATTTTAAATTAAAACACACACGATCAGCAAGGAGCTGATCGTGTGCTGTACACGGTCAACATTTTGTTGACCGTGTACATTTTTAATTAATTTAATTTTATAAAATTAAGAGTGCAAGATCATATGGCACATTAACATGTGTCCACTTTAGGTTTGCGTGTGCATCATATGCACGCACGCTCATGACTGAAATAAAATAAAATTAAATCACATTTAATTTAATCTCAATCTGACTAATCGATTGCTATAATTGCAAACATATTTGCAATATTGCATCTTCCGTACAACGTCATCCTAAATTGGTTATGGTGTGTGACATTCCTAGGTTCATCACTGAACTGGTAATAGGACTTGCACTAACACGTTAGTACTCTCAAGAAAATTGATTGTCCCGATTAACCTCTAGATCCTACAAGCCATGATTGACATCTAGCAATATGTCATGGCTACCCAGACAGTGTGAATATTTTAAGAACATAATGAACCCGTCAGCTTTGGGTACAGTGTAATTCAATCCCTCTACCTTACTATGTCCCGATCGAACAAAGACCATGGAATATTTGTCAAGTCATCAATTCGATCATATGCACAAATCTAATTGACATGCATTTTATATGAGACATGAACAGTTCATTCTCGGTTACAACCCCGGCCGAGGATTTTAATGCAATGTCAAGATTAGATTGCATATGTAACAGCCCGAATTTCGACGTAATTCCGGGATCAATAAAATTGACAATATTTCGCATTTCATTTTAGTAAGTCTCGCCCAGAGCTGATCACTCTCGGGATACTAACCAATGGGGTATGGCTAACTAGGAAACGGTACGTGGACTAGGGACTCGATAGTGAACGGGACACCGATCTCGAGATACGATGAGTGAATATTTTGGGCCAACGTGGGCCGATCTTAGGAAAGGTGATGGATTTGGTTTGGCCAAGGCCAACGAGGTACAATCGGATCGCAGGTGATTCTGCAAGACCGAAAGTGCACGTGGCCAACCAGTCCTGAACCTGAACCGAACGATCGTGATCTTTGGAACTAATGATAATTTCTCATTCTCTCAATGATCGGGACCGTCGTAATTCGAATAACCCTAGGTCGATACGCGTATGTCCTAAACAGCCGCCCGTTAGCCAGAGACCTGAAATTGAAACTCGAGCGAGTTTTGATCACGAAATTGGGCCCGAATTTCGATGTCGATTTTCGAAGGCTTAAGAGACTATTTTTGGGAATCTGACGTCATATTACGCTGACCACACACGTTTGGAATTAGTACGAGTAAAAAGTGGAATTTCGGTCCGGGGGTGAAAAATTACGGTTTTGCCCCTGTGGGCACCGAGGCTGGATTCGGAGGCCGTTTGAGGTTATTTTTCGCGGCCAAGGTTATTTTGGGGTGGCCACGCACATTTAGAGTGGTTTTGGCCAAAAATTGGAATTTCGATAAAAATTGGAAAAATAATATTATTTTATTCCCGAAACTTTGCAGTCAATTTTAGAGGACTTAAAAAGTGAATTTCGCGATTCCGACGCCATATTATGTTGGCCACGCACATATGGAACGTGTATGTGCGAAAATTGGAATTTTGACCCGGGACCAAAAAATTACCAAAATGCCCTTGGACCCATTTTTGGTAATTCCGAATTTTGGATTTAATTAGGGGACTAACCAAGGTGAGTTAGGACTAAACCAGGTCTGGTCAGCTTGGGTTAAGGATCAATGATCATTTCACCCCTAAATTATTGGATTAGATTGAATCCTAACCCTTGGATCAAGGGCAAAATTGTCCAATAGCCCTAGATCTTGACACTTGGATTCCACCAAGGCAGTGTTGACTCAGTTTGACCAGACTATATATCTCTCTCTCTCTCTCTCGTGAAGCTCATTCCAGCCATTTCCCCCGAAAACTTCTTCCTTTTCCTCTGTTTTACGTTCCGCCGTGACCCATTCTATCCATACGTGCATTGTTCACGAAATGCACGCCCGGAGCCGCCCCGCCGAGCCAAGACCACCAGCGTGACCTACTCCCGCCTCTGTCCAGCCCTTTCTCTCTCCCTTTCCCTCTCTTTCTCTCTCTTTTTCTCTCCCAGTAAAGCACCGCTGCCGCGTCCGAGCCTCGCCGGAGCTTCGCCGGAGCTCTGATCGCCGTTCCGTCGCCACCCAACCGTCCAGCCCGCCCGTACGTCGCCGTCCAGACCTGTCCGTATGGTGTCCGTACAGTACTGTTCATCGCGTCCGTACGGATCACTGTTCACGCCGGACCGTACGGCCGCCGTGCCGTCACCGCCACTTCGCCGGCCACCGTTTTCCTCCCGTCCGTACAAGTCCTTACAGCGTGAACAGTACACTGTGAACAGTGCGCGTGAACAGTGCGCGCGGGGAATTCGCCGCCAGTTTCACTGTTCATCAATGATCGGCCGCCGTTCCCCGTCGCCGTGGTCCTGAAATTAAGTTAGTAAAATTCCTAAACCCGGATTAGGACTGTTAGTGCGTTTTTCTGGACTGGTTTAGGTATTATCGGTACAATTTGGACTGGCTTAGATAGTATCAGTGTGTATTTCAGACTGGGTTGAGGACGGATTGGTAGAAATTATAATTTGGAAATTTAGTGGATTAATGAGAATTATTTGGGGAGATTAATTGGATTAAATGACCAATTTAGGAGCCCGTTGGAAAATTACCGGGTATGTCCGGGTTGACTGATTGTACGTCAATTGTGCTTAATTGTGATTGATTTCGTACTGCTATGTCATATGTGGTGTGGCTGATTTTATGGAGTGCGATTGGCCATTGTTTGGTTTACAATGATTTACTGGTTTGTGAATCGCACGTTAGGCCACACGGTATTAATTGGGCTAATTAAGCACGTGTTGTGACATTGAGTGTCTGAATTATAGTGGTGCTCGTGGTGCATTGCATTGCATAACATGGACACGCATTGCGTATGCCAAGAGTGAGGCATGTGATGAACTTGCGCGAGAATGCGTGTCTGCCATGAGCATGTGATCACCTAAAATACCCTGAAGCGTTATACGCTGGGTTCAGATAATAATGAGTTGTGTGATCACCTAAGGACCTTTGGGTCATGACCTTCGGGTCGATACCGTCCTCATGCACTTTGAAGCAGGATGATGCCCGGTACGTCCGGAAGGCGACCATCCTCATGCACTTTGAAGCAGGCTCTGGTTCGCAAGGAGAACAGTGTTGCGCCTCATGCACTTTGAAGCAGGCTAGAGACACTGGGCCAGATCGGTTGCTGCGCCTCATGCACTTTGAAGCAGGCTAGACGCACCGGGCCGTGAATGTTGTTGACTCGAGTCGTAATAAATAATAATAAATTGGGCGATTGCCAGTGTGCCAGTGTGGGCCAGTGGGCCGGGAAATACACGTGACATGTCGACGACATTTGCATGCATGAACATGCATGGACTGGCATGCGAGTGTGTGAGCCTCGGTGCATGAGCATGTGATTGGCGTACGTGTGATAATATGTGCCACGTACGTGTCGTGATTATTATATATTGAACTGCCTAACCTGCAGGGTCGGAGGATTATTTGATTGTTGTTGCACTATGGTTTCACATATTTATTTTCCGGTCAGGAGATTGCATGCTAGCCTAGCCTAGGATTAGGGGTTGAACTCACTGAGATTCGTCTCACGGTTGTGTAAACCGAAACATTTCAGACCCCCAGCCGTAGGATGCCGAGGAGAGCGCCTCTTTTTGGTATACCGCAATTCATCCAGCGGTCATCTAGTGTGCACCCTTGTGGGGATGGACCTGCAGCCATGGTCGAGGAAGCTGAGGAGCCCGAAGTGATATACGCTGACCCCTTTTTACTGAGTGGCTGCTGATTGTGTGTTTTCTCGGCCGCTGTATAAATGAATTTTGTAAAAAGTTTCCTATGGTAATACTAGTATACATATTTTCAGAGGTGCTGTTTACTTAATGTACTACCTTGGTCTCGTGTGTTTTATTGTCAGGGTGTATATATATATTTATATACGTGCTTCTGCATGTGTTTGATCTCTGATTGGGCGTTGGGTCGGCGATGCTTCCTGGGAGCATCGCACCAAAATCGACCGTGACGGGATGTTGCGTTCCAATGGGGTACGGGGCGTGACAGCATAGGACATCATTATTGTACCTTGTGTATAACAAGGAAACATATTCCATTTTGCGCACACGTGTAACTTCGTATGTGAATGAACTATGGCCATCAAGTACAGAGACGGATCAACGAACCAGCAATATGTGCACCTGTGAACCATAGCCATCCAACACACAAGTCAACACTGTGCCTCAGGTCTAAGGATTATTTACACAAGACCAGAGCATGAACGATTAGGCATTGACCACGCTAAAAGCTTCCATGTTGCTAATCGTTTTATGCGTGTCACGTTCAGTGAACTTGTCTGATACAAACACCTGTGTTCTAGCTCGGGCATCACAATACCCAATGACTCGTGACTCGTCATTTCCTTAAATATCCAATACTTAATGGTGAAGCTAAGAACACACCGGTCTTAATAGGATTATTGATATCCACTCAATGATCCATCGACCGAGAACAATTTAAAGATTCAGTCTAACTGTGAACCTGTCACACATATTCTTAACGTCTCAAGAATAGGTCCGGTCACAACTGATCTTATAGAATCATTCATATATTTAAATAATTGGACAAATGAATAAATATGTCATTGCCATTAAATAAATAATGAAATTGAAAATACAACTTAAATCCCTAACATGTAACTATTACATGATGACTTTAGGGCATACATCTAACAACGGTATCTGGATTTACTTTTTGATTACTGGGTGGAGTTGGAGTCGGGGAAGTAGGTGGTTTCAGATCATCGTAACTGCAGCGAAAATCAAAACAAGAAAAGAGTTACATAAATACTTCTCTTGCAGTTATGTAAATAAAGAGTGTGGGAACATGATAGGTATGCACTTGCTCTGTAAACAGGAATATGATGCTGGAAGTAAAATCTATTATTTTGAATTTTTCATTTTCTTCATATTTGAAATGGCAAGAGCCTAGCTTGCACAAACGTGCATGAGTCTGTGGGTACGGGTGGGTGTGTGTGGGGTGTGTGTCTGTGTGTGCGTGGGTGTGTGCATGGGCATGTGCGCGTGCGCACGCGTGAGAGAGATGCAGCCATATGGAATGACATACGTGGGATAAGGAGAGAGTGGCCTAGTTGCAACTGCTTTGCCTGTGGAAATTTCCTCAACAACTGGGATGTTTGGAGGCACCGGTGTGGTTACATTAGAAGGTGCAGGAGAAGTATAATCAGAAGCATCAGGTTCCTGCCAAAAATTTCTGAAAAATTCAGCGTGGACTTATAAAAGCACAGTGAACTAAATTAGATTTTTCACCTCTAAAAGATCGATGAAAAATCTCATTTCGCACTTCTAAAAGTGCAGTGAGTTAAATCAGATGAACTTTATATGCAGAACTAGACGTTAAAGTGTGAACTGGAGTTCCTGAAGAGTTTGCTACATTTTAAAAAAATAAGAATTACTCATCCTTCAAATCTAAATTTCTAGTTCAGCTACATAGTTACTGCACAAAAAGGACATTAATTAACAATTAAAATACAAAGATGTGTCTTCATAGGAGATTTAAATGAATGGAAGCTTTCGTATGATGCACAACCGAATCTAATCCACTAAGCATGAAGAAGAAAAGGACAAGTCACTTCATGACTATCCAGATATATGCTTGACAGAAATTTTGAGCACATTTTGTTAGCTTATAATTTTCAAAAAAATAGTTGTTCAACATGGTATCGTAGCTTCAGGTGAAGGGTTTGAATTTTGTACTCCCTCTTGTTGTCATTAAGTCTGTTATGCTTGTTTGTCCTCGGGCGACTATTTGATGGCTACAATTTATGTTATCGTATAAGATAGCTTAAACACCAAAGGAAGTACTCAGACATATTTGAGCCTGATAGACAATGCTAATATATTTCGCCATACCTCAAACTTTTGGGAGCAACGGTTGATCAACAATGACTAATTTCTAACTAGGAGGATTTGACTGTGTCAAAAAGCATGCTTAACCAAGAACAGTTTTTGCAGAATTAGCGCTTATAACATCAGCTTCAGAGTTTTTCAAAGTCTGAAGACTAAGAAATCACCATTAGCAAGGAAACAAAATTTATAGACATGTCTTGCTTAACCATGACAAATGTAAACCTCGCTCTCATTACTGCAAGCATGTTAGATATGCCTTTCGCTACCTTTCAGTGCCACAACATGCCAAGACAAACAAAAACACTCTAAAGGAGAAATGAAATTCTGGATTTCCTCTCGTGAATAATTGCAAAAGGCTTTTTAATAATATTAACAGAAAGTTCAAGCATAGCAGGTTATATATGGAAGAAAGATATACCTGTGGTTCTTGGCATTGAGATGGTATCCTAGCAAGAAGCTCTTCCATGGGAGTCAGTGGAGCAGTCGTTTCGGCAATTACTTCCACCACTTTACAGTATGAAAGGCCACGGTTTTTGGCCATGACTGCCATGAGTTCTGCCACCTGAAATAGTAAATCAGAAATGCCTTTCCGATCATTGGCATATTTGCCTTTCCTATCATTGGTGGATTCTCTTATCACCGCATCACTTTGGCTACGTTAAAAATGCGTGACACTATCCCTGACAACATTTTCCACCACAAGTGCTGAGAGGGTGGAAATCTTTTTCATTCGAAAGAGAGAATAAATTTGTGCAATATTGATTCAGAATGCAGACTGAAACACTAGCAAAAACAGTAAAAGTGACTCCTCAACATTTTTAACAAGTGCAAGACCTCATACAGATACTATTAATTCAGACAGATCTGCCAAGCAGTGTGGAGTATGAGTTGAAATGATAAAACAAACCTGATACACCTAAAAGGCGAGATGAAAGAAATTAAAACAGAACATACAATGTGCGCAACATTGTCCTGTGAGGCTGCGACTGCCAATAAGCCTAAATCTCGTGCAAAAACAAAAAATGAAGGCTTATACCACTAAGTGGGATTGGCTATATGAATCTTAAATCTCGTGCAAAGATGCAAAAATTATATCCAGAATGTTGCTTGGCCTATCTGCTTCATTCACTCGGACCAAAAGCAAATAGAATAGATCTCCCAGAAAGGTGCTCTGTATATTTCACAACACAAGAAAACCCAATATACCAAAAGTCCATACAAGAAAAGTGCTCTGTATATTTGGCAAATAATATCTTTACTGTCTTTAAAGTTATATACCTTCTGTTTTCTCCCCTTCAGTAAAAAAGAAATGTCTTCAGTTTATTGATAGCAAGAAAATCTATAACTGCTCGCTGACTTATGCATATGCAAATAAACTTGACAACTTTACCTGAAGGTTTGAAACTTGGCCTCCAAATAAAGTATCTTCCTCTGAAAGAGTAATATTATGAGTTTCTTTATAAGCATCAGTTGGCCGCTCCATTCCCCCTGGCCTCACTATCTGAATTAACACTTGTAGATTAGTAAGATTATTCGAAAACTGTGTTTGACTGAAAAGTTGATTCAAGAAATACTCACAGTGTAAGGAATACCACTGGCTATGAGTGCTTCTTCAGCTTTCCTTTTCCAGATCAACACTCCCCAAAACAAACTTAAGGGGCAAGAAAGCAGTCAACAGATCATGCTTACATATTTTCACGAATAGAGAAAAGTTTACAAAAGAAAAACCCCGCTTACTTCAGTATAGCCGCCGGAAATCCAACCTTATTTGTTCCCAAAGATGAAACCATGATGAAGTGGTTAACTTTGGCCAAAGTTGCTGTCCAAAGAGAGATAATACAATTTGATGGATCCAACTCCAAGAGCAGGAACAAATAACAACACTATTTCTCTTTCATAAAGTTCAGTTTCACTAGGTTATTTTAACAAATGGAAAAGATCCGACAAAGATTTCGCGAATTGCTTCCTCAATCCTCCTGGTCGAGTCTTCATTTGTTACTCTTGTACTTCAATGATCTTACATAATGCAGAAACTTAATGATCTAATTGTTGCAGAAGAATCCTGAGGCACTAAGGAAAATGATCTTTGGTGGCCAGGACTCAAGAGACCCCCCTTAATCTTGAAACTAATGAGCAATTATATGGTGTACGACTTTATCTACCTGCATCAACGAGGTTCTTCGTAGCCATATAGTCAATTCTGTATGGGCCCGTCACATCAAACACTTCCTTTTCGCTGGCACCAATGCAACATATAACCACGGAAGCATTGGCTAAGGCTGGTCTAATCTGATCGGGCTTCTCCAAGTCACATTCCACAACTTCAAGCTTCTCTACAGCTGGGCTAAAAACCAGAAAATAGCCGTTATTTGTTATCACAGAGTATCTTATAAACAATAATGGATCTATAGTACTTTTCTTTCCTCTAAATTCCACTTGGAATTATCTAGAAAGAAAGAAACAGAACATAAATCCCAGCTTTTCATATATATTTTCTTACGTTTAAACCCCTCCTTTAAGTCATCCCCCTCAAACTTCATCTGTTTAACACTCTGCAAGAAGTTTGTCATTAACCGAGTCATTATAGCAGAAAACTGGTAAGCTATGGAGAGCAAGTTCAGATCAATTAAAACATCTACCTGCACAAGAGCTACTGCTCTTTCAGCACTTCGCACTCCGGCTCTGACTCGATACCCTAATTTCAAAAGCTCCCTAAAGAAGAATCCATCCCGCGATCAAACCAGAGTGAGGTATAAAACAATTCGCATTGGAAGTATAAGTTCTGAAATGCAACCTCACAGTCCGTGATCCAACTTTTCCAGTCGCACCAGCAACAAATACAAGACCCTCATCTTTCTTATCAACATTACTTGGTATTGCTTCAGTTGTCGCAGAGCTCATTCTGGTTGCACCTACGGGATTGATGAAAATTAGTTATCATTGTGCAGATAGCTGCATTTGATAAGACATGATATTTCGGATGAGTTTAGTACTATTAGTCTAGCTCTGGCCAAAAGAAAACAATAATAGTGACAGTCTTGCTTCCCCAATTTTTATTAATGATTTCAATATCTAGACCAGAAAATGATACCCAAATCTGCCGCCACTGCAATATTGCGTGCAAACAAGCGACAAATACATTCAGTGATAAAACAAATCAAAAAATGCGTACGGCCTGACTGGGATGCATGAAATCCGAGCCGCGATATTGAAATGGGACCCTCCATTTCCAATTACATGCCCATTTAAGCATTATGCCCATAAAATTTTGGACTCGGCCGCAATCCTACACGCTAGGATTGGAGAATCGGCATTCCTCACCTCACTAATCCATGATAGCATAACCACACACTACATAAAGCCTATCTCCGTCAACACCACACCATCCCTCCCAAGATTGCCCATCAACCACAACCTCCTTCACCACCCATTCCCCCAGCAACGTTGCCATCATAATGGCCACCACCCTCCACTACCATCACCATGCGTTACCTCTCCCCAGTGTAATCACATACCGCCACTTCAACCGCAGAACATACCGCATTCAGCTTCATCTTATTACTTCTAAGATTAGCATTACCAATGCAAGTGCAAGTCGAACAAAGTACAGATTACACTAGACTGTTAAACTTCACTATCTCATTAGCACAACAGAACCTAGAGTCACAAAAAACACACTGCTTCCATGTCATCTGAACGACATTGCCACAACGACATTGTGCCGAACCATCTATCTTCCTTCCACGCCTCCACCAAAACGTCATCGAGGCAAAGTCCTCGCGTTTTCAGGCAAAAGAGCAAAGAGGCAAGAGATGGTAATCGGCAGAACTGCCACACGGACCTGAAGCTAGAGCTCTGAGCTCGAGAGGTCTCGCCTTCCCCACGAACCGATAACGCTTCGCATGGCTCGGCAACTGCAAGACCTGGCAGCGAAGGAACGGCTTCTCGAGCGGCCCAGCTCGTGAAGAGGCGATCGCGTTCGCGCTCGGCGTCTGTAACGAGCGAAGCTCCATTGCCATGAGAACTCCGGAAGAAGAAGAAGGAGAATAAGAAAGAGAGTTGTTTTTTTTATTTTATTTTATCTAATTTAAATTATTTTTCCGAATTTTTTGCTTTACTTTTTTTTGTCCTTTTGCTATCTATATCAGTGACTGCAAGTTGTGACAGAAATGGAATTCTGTGGATATGATGGGTCCCACGGTAGTCTCGTTTGCCTATGATGTTGTGTGGTGGCTATGGCTACTTGTTTTTATTTTTTATTTTTTTTATTTTTCCCTCTCCAATCTATTATTTATAATTATATTTATAATTATCTTCTTTTCTTCCTTCCTCCAATTATATATTGAGTTACTCATCTATGGTCATGTTATGCTAATGTCTATACTAGTAACTAAGTTAAATTTAGTGGGCACTTCAATCGCAAATATTTACACAAAAAACAAAAAATTATAACAAATCCACACATTTTTTTGTGATACGATATGACCGCACATGACCATAGATGAGCAAAATCGTGTTTTGCGATAATTCATATGATTGGCATCCAAATCTTTTACGTATTATATTATTTCATTAATTAAAAATGCATGGCGCAGTATAAAATACATGTGTTTGTACGAATGTAGATCGAGTGAGAGATCCAAAGTTAGACCCATTGTGAAGCACATCATTTTGTGATGGCACGTAAACTTTCTAGTGGATTGACAATTGACAACTTCTTCATTTATTGTTTGGCAACCTTCACGGAGAGTACTATACGACACTACTTCAATTCTTGTTCAAAACCGTATGTGTACTTTTTAAAAAGTGTTATCGGTCATCCTTAATCGGTCCGATGACGGAATTTGTTGACATTAAGGCCGTTAGAAATTTCATGACGTGGTTTAATGTCGTTAGAAATTTGTTGACTTGAATTTATTTTGTTGTTTTTTTCAATGTTATCTCTCCAACTATCATCATCTTCTTCCTCTTCTTCTTCTTCAACTTAAACCCAACCAAATCGAAACGAATACCCACAAATTTAACATCCCTCCCAAATGCAATATCCGGAAAGGCCATGGCTGCGAGCTTGAAAAAGATTTAGCCACCACGGTCGTGTTGGATGAAGCTCATCAGGGCATGGCCGTAAGCTCAAAGAAACTCCATTTGCCATTGTGTGAGTTTGATGAAACTCGGTTAGTAATGGTTAAGCTTAACAGAGCTCGAATGGCCGTAGTCGAGTACGACGAAGCTGAGCAGCCATGGTAATGAACTCATATTGGATATAGTAAAAAAAATATCAATAAAATTGGATATATTAAGCAAAAAATATCCTAACCAAATGCTCCAATTTTTTAATATAATGATGTCTTAATTCTAGGATTTGAAACATTATTTTCCATCTTGAAACCATTAGCTGGCACATGTACATTAATTATTCATTTTAGGAGAAACCTTATAACACCAGCCAAAGAAAAGCAAAATATTCTATCAAAATCCATTATATAACTTTTCAAAATGGCTTTTTCTTAAATGCTAGAGTTCGATCTATCCCTAGCCTTAATGGCAATTGCCCAATTGCCCATTTCGCCTATATAATTTTCCATTCTTGATGCTTTGCACATCCGATGTCTTATACATTTTTGTTAATTATGGTAACAAAGTCTTTTTAAGTAGGTAAATCCCAAATACCATGAAATACATCACTAACTTTTTATTGCATCTTTATTATATGGTAATGTGTTAAATGTAAAATATGAAAAATCTCCATTATCTTTACCACAATTACTCATTCTTTACCTATATAAGCTATAGCACTTAGGAACCTTAGATATCGAATGTGTTATGTCTAGAGAAATGTCCTCTCTCGAAACCTCACTCCGTTACTGACGATGTTCCAGACTTACATGAATCTCAATTAACTTCGTGATTATGAACTTAATACGAATTTCAATTGCTCCACCAACGAAGCAATCCGATCGGCAATTTTTCAGAAGCTTTAGATTCATGGTAAAAACTATGAATCTTCTCTCTCCATCTGTCATCATTCTTTTTCATGGCAATTGACATAATGCCTTTTTTTTTTCTTTCTAATTTTCAATGCAGAAAAACGAAATTATCCAAGAAATGGGTGTGCAGGACGTGCAGGGAGTGACTTTTTTGGGATCTTAATTATCAGTTCTAGAGTCTTATGTCCCTTCATCTGATAATTAGGACTCCCCACCACCTTCTTGTGAGAAGGAAGGGGAGCAGAACCGGGCCAAACTACCCCCAATCACTACGCTATCAAAAGTCCATAATCAGAAGATAGACTGAAGGGAGAGAAAATGCTTCTAATTAGATTTGTGATCCTCAAGACCTTTGGTCTCTACCTGGATTCTGGTATTAGAGTAAAGTTCTGCTGAGAGATGTTATAGCTAGCATTCTACATCGCTTGTTCGGTTTTCCTAGTTTTTCTCAATGTCGATTGAGAAACTTATGTTATTAATCAACATGTAAATCCCATTTGAAGATGAAATATTAGATTCTATTCCGCTATTCGCATTCTCTCGAACGCACTCATATCGTCCATACCATAACAATTACAAATTTGAGATTTTTTTCTGATAATATAGGCCAATAATATACTAGTGTGGAATAATCTTAAAAAAATTTATCAATCTGTGAATATGATGGGTCCCATATTAATCTTGTTGTGTGACATCCCAAATTTCACAGTAACATTATATGAATTGCTAATTGGAGATGGCCAATAATTGATTAGTTAATTATTGAGATACTTTCGGAATATCGATGATTAGGCATTTGACATATTTTGATGCGAAAATCTTTGGAATGCATTGGACAATTGAAGAGATCAACGCGTGGCCATATGCATAAGATTGGTGATCATTTGTGATAATGGGGAGTAATGGTTGTTGAGATAGGTCTTATGTGACTTTAGGTGTATTTGGATTGGGTAATTAGGACACAAAACTGTGCCCCAATTAACCCCCATGTGTGGCCGGCCATCTAGGGCAGAAATTCAGTATGCAAAATTGAATTATTAAGTCTATTTAATCATGTTTACTATCCACATCAGCCAATCAGATTTCATGCAAGGTAGGAGGCTTGTTTGACACACCATCTTGGGGCTCATGATGAAGAATCATCATTACGCTCCTTCTCTCTTTCCCTTGACCCCGCGGCAGCCCCCAGCCCTTATCTCTCTCTCTTTCATTTTGCAAGACACCACAAGCCACACTTCATTTCTCTCTCTCTCTCTCTCTCTCTCTCTCTCTCTCTCTCGCCGCCCCCTCTCCCTCTCGGTTTCCTCTCCCCCTCTTGGCCGCTCTCTCTCCCGCGCCTCACCTCCATTTCCAGCTCTGTTCCAGCTCGTTTTTCTTTCGCTCCGGTGCTGTGAAGGCGTGAACAACACCCAAGAGGAAGAGTTTCGGCCTTGGATAGTTCAAGGCAAGGAGATAGGGCTTGTTTCTAAGCCTACCCATCTCTCTATGCCCTTGGTTTTTCTTGTTTGTTGTTGTGGATGGATGTTTTGATCTTTCATGTGGGTTTCATGATGTTAGAAGGGCATGCATGTGGCTGTTCAGACCTGGATTGAGTGTGCTTGTGGCCCTAATGGTCTTGCATGTGGGTGCTCTAGTCTCTAATGGCCTTGCATGTTGGTATATTAGCTCCTAATGGCCTTGCATGTGGTTTCTAGGTCAAGAACTTGTGTTGCATGTGACATAGATGGGCAAAGGTTGTTAAATAGAGATGGAAATGGGTGTTGCATGTCTATTCAAGTTGCTGGGTATGAGTTTTGTTGAAGTAAATTGGATGGGTTTCCATTCGGATTCATCTCCTTGAACTTTGTTCTTGAAACCCGCTACTGGACCTCTTCTTATTTCCATTTTTATAGAGATTTTTTTGGACCGAATTTTAAGAAACTTTATTCATCAAAGTTTCTCCCAACATCTTGAAGTATAACATACTTTAAATAGAGATTTTTATAAGCTGAATTGTTTTGTACGAAGAACCATTTTCTAAACGAGTGTGAACCGTCTAGTGTTGATGTTTCTGTGACCATTATACTTTCTTGATTGTCCACAAGTTTTTTTAGAACGAATCTTAACAAATTTCCTCCACAAAAGTTGTTGAGAACTTCCTTCTCTATAACATATAAAAATTTTGGAATTTTTGGAGATGATTTTGGATTCTGAAAAGAGCTTATTTTGAGAAGCAAGGATTCTGTTCCAGCAAACTGTTTTTGGTATGTCTTTGAGCTACTAAAAGTTGTGTTTACAGAAAGATCCAGGCTTCGTGTTCTTATGAGAAATGTTTGTTAGGATCTTTTTTATGACGTATTCAAATTTTATAATTTTCGAAGTTCATTTACTATATTTTTAAGTCTGATTTCATGAACAGTGCATAACTGCCCAGTTTTTGCTAGATTGCAAAGATTCATCATTTTCTACATGAAAACGTTGGAATTTCGATTTGATGCCTTCTGGAGGCAAAATCCATATATTCTGAGCTTTCCACTGAGATACGATTGACCTTTATGTGATGTCAAATGATGGGACAAATGTAATTATTTATATGATGGTAGAATCTGGAATATGGTGTGAAAGTTTCCATGAGTTAGAAGGGTGTCACATTACCATAGTGGCATAGTGTTATGTATACATGAACTATTTTATTTGCATATTATGTCATGTAATTGGTACGTGTGAAATGTTTAGGCAATGTGATGTGATGCCTACGGTCAATGAACCGTGGATGCCCGACAGTGGACGTGTGATTCTCAGGAGGCGAATGCCTTGGCTAAAAACCAAGATACCCCAGAGTTTGGGATGCCCTTGTGTAGGATGCCTGCGATATTCAACTCGCGGAGGAGGCCTTGGCTAAAAACCAAGATGCCCCTATGTGGGATGCCTACGACATTCAATTTGTGGATGATGCCTTGGCTAAAAACCAAGATGCCTCTATGTGGGATGCCTGTGGTCTGCGCGCTGTGGAAGTTTGGATAGCGATTCGGAAGTGACCCGCACGGGCCGGCTTGCCACTGGTTGAACTGTGAGATGGGGGTGGACCCGATGACATGA